TAGGGTTTAAGGATTTAGGGTTTTAGGGTTTTAAGGTTTAGGGTTTTAGGATTTAGGGCTTTAGGGTTTAAGGTTTTGGGGTTCAGGGTTTAGGGTTTAGGGTTTCGGGTTTAGGGTTTTGTGGTTCAGGGTTCAGGATTTAGGGCTCGGGCTTGAGCATTGGGCTTCCCGCTCAGGGTCGTTAACAGGGCGCCAGGCGATAAAGACAGAGTAAGAGCGACGATCTGCAAAAAATACCCTGACCCCTAACTGGAGCCCTAAATAGTGGGTTACTAACCATATATTATGTACCCCAGTAACCTACTATTTAGGTAACTGGAGCCCTAGGGCCTAACACCGAGAAACTTCTGGGACTTGGCGCAGCCGTCGATGAGGCTGTTGTACCTCGGTGGCGCCCCGTGCTACCGATACGGGGCAATGGAAGGGCCGTTCAGGTCGCTGAGAGTATTTGGTTTAGGGTATAGGGGTTTAGGGTTTAGGGTTTAGGGTTTAGGGGTAAATAGCAGAGCTCTTCCAGCTTGAAATTTCGTTTAAGGTACTTGCTCTTAAGGACCCCACAGGAGGGTCACAAGAGGAAAGTGACAAACCTGGCAACATTCCTAGTGGCAACCTGGGCACATGATCTCGTCGCACTTCAGGTTCCTGGCCTTCAGCTCTTTCCAGAGGGCCAAAGCCTTGTGCACTTGCCCGATTTGGCTGTAGCCCTTGATGAGGGTACTAAAGGTGATCAGGTCGGGTTCGATGCCCATCTGCATCATGTCCTGCAAGAAGTATGCAGCCGTCTGAAGATCACTGCAGCGCACGCAGACATCCATGAGAGAGTTGAAAGTGACGAGGTTGCACGGCACCTGCTCCATTCGCATCTCGTGGTACAGGTTCATGGCTCCCTGCAGGTCGCGCATCTTCGCGAGGCCTTTGATCAACGTCGCATACAGAACTGTGTTCTTGTGCATGCCCTGCATGCGCATCTCCTGGAAGATTGCCATCGCTTTGTCCAGGCTGTTGCATTTCACACAGGCATCTAACACGCAACCGCATGTGACCGGGTTGATTCCCAAGCACCGACTGCGCATCTGATGCCAAACTTTGATGACCGAGTCGGTGTCCCTGGCTCGCCCGTAGGCCTTTACCACGGTGCCAAAGGTAACAGCAGAGGGTGCAACCCCGTAGTCGTTCATCTTGTTCAGCGTCTGCTGCAGCTTCACCATGTCACCAGTCTGCCCCAAAACGTTCAGCAAGGAGTTGAAGACGATCTCATCAACGTCCTCCTTCTGCTGGTCTATGAAGGCCTCCACGAGGCTAATCCCCCGGCGCACGCTGCGCTTATCCGTGGAGGACTCGAGGCTTTTCGTCAAGATGGAGACGAAGTACTTGTCTGCCTAGGGAAAAGGGCAAACTCACACGACTTGGCTCCCGAACCCGTAAGCGCAAAACGCGCAATGTTGAAACACTGCAGTTTTTTTACGGCTTTTTGTAGGGCCTAGGAGGCTTTTTCCTTATGAAGCTTTTTTTAGATTTGGTGATCCCCTCCCTAAGCTTCCGAGCCCAAACTCCAAAACGCCGGCCTTCCGGCCGCATCGGAGCAGAAGGTCTAAGACCTGGCGGGCAGCGAAAGTCGCATCGGCTCAGGGGGCGAAGGGTAGTCCAAGAGTTCCTTTAAGTGTTCCTTCAAAGGGATCTAGAAGGGTTTCGAAAAGGGTTCTATGATCTCGGGGCCTTTAAAGTCACCCGCAACAGGCTTTGGAGCATATTCTGCTGCGGCAGTAAACTTTATATAAGTACTTGCTTCGGCCCCTGCATGGGTACTGTAAGTCAAAACAACGAGCATCTCACAGGGATGTGATACCCAAGAGCCTCGAACGATGTTGAAACCTTGAAGCCAGTGCCGTTCCACACCCAAACACCCGAGGTCGCAACGCATCAACTCTTGCCAGAAATAACTGCCACTATCAAACCTGTACTTCTAGAGTCTTGGAACATCACTAAGGCTAAGGCCTAAGAGAGCCAACCCCTGAATCGCCGAGCACGGGGCATCCCAGGCATCCGTCCAGGACCGCGTCCGCACCGTAGCATCCAGCATCCTCAGAACAGTCGCAACCATGACGAACACAAGCACGATGACGACCAAAGACGACCACAACGACGGACGATATGACAAAAACACAAAGACGACCACCGCCGCCGCCACCACATCGACCATGGCCAACCACGACCGGGACGATGACGATGACGCTCGCACATCATCACGATGATAATCATCATCATCATCACAACCATCATCATCATCATCATCCGCATCACCATCAGATCATCATCATCATCATCATCATCGATGTCGNNCAGCAGCAGCAGCAGCAGCAGCTCCTTGTTGCTCATGCTATCACTGACGACCAAGGCAGGGTTGGCAGGAGCAGGGCGCAAAACTGATTGGAGAACGGTAGCACTTGTACTCCAAGCCCCAAAGTTTGCATGGAATTGCCCGAGCTGCCGAGCCCGAAATCCAGAAGAAAAATAACACTAAGCCGGACCTAGAGGTGCAAAACCAATGACATGGAGCAGTATGACTACTCTCTGGAAAGACCACACACTTCCCACAGCTAAAAATCTAGAGCCCCACTTCTACAACCTGTGCAAACCAAAATCTCCAGGCCGGCGGCATATTGAAGATCTGGTCTCCCGGTGCTGGCGCTCCTTCCAGCGAGTTTGGGTGAGGTATAACCCTAAACCCCGAACCCCTGAGCTTGTTTTTGGGCCAGGTCGGGGGGCCTCGACCGTGAGCTTTGGGGATTCGGAGTTCAGGGTTTAGGGCCTCAGGGGGGGTGGGGGGGTGATGGTTTCGGGTTTCAGGGTTTAGAGCTTT